CAGTCTCAAAAACAAAGCAAAACAAAACAAAACAAAAAGGTGGATTTAGTGTCCTTAGACTCTCCTTTCTACGGTGTTCACTTCCCATCCTTATTTCATAGTCACTACCTCCCCCCATGTTCATCATGCCACCCCTTTCTTATTTCTGTTGATATCTGCTTTAAGAGAGCATATCAGATGATAAATCTATGAAAAGTGCTCTATCTCACTAGTAATGAGGGAAATTAAAACTAAAACCACAATGAGATACTGTTGCACACCCATCAGAACAGCTCAAATGAAAAAAGACTGACATTATCATGTATTGGTGAAGATGGGGATTTATTGGAACTTTTGTACACTACTGGTGATTATATAAATTGGTACAACTACTCTAAAAAGCTATTTGGCAGTATCTACCAAAGCTGAACTTAGGCATATCCCAGTGACAAAGTAATATCACTCTTAGATATTTAACCAAGAGAAACTTTCCCACATGTACATAAGGATACATATACATATGTAGATGTCCATTGAAGGATTTTGTTTGAGACAGTAAAAAATGAAAAGCAACCTGAATGATCATCAACAGAGTGAATACACGAACTATGGTGTATTCATCTGATGGGATTCCATACGGCATTTAAAATGAATAAATTATAGCCATATGTAGCAACACAAAACTACAGCAAAATATATCAAAACCATACTGTTGGCTGGGCACGAAGGCTCATGCCTGTAATCTCAGCACTTTGGGAGGCCAAGGCGGGTGGATCACCTGAGGTCAAGAGTTTGAGACCAGCCTGGCCAACATGGTGAAACCTCATCTCTACTAAAAATACAAAAATTAGCTGGGTCTGGTGGTGGGCACCTGTAATCCCAGCTACTCAGGAGGCTGAGGCAGGAGAATTGCTTGAACCCAGGTGGAGGTTGCAGTGAGCTGAGATTGTGCCATTGCACTCCAGCCTGGGTGACAAGAGCAAAACTCCACCTCAAAAAAAAAAAAAAATACTGTTGAGGGAAAAAAAAGTTATAGAAAATTCTGTATAATAGCATTAAAGTATAAAAACATAAAACAATATCCTATTATATATTATTTGTGGTACATGCATAGATAGTAAAAGGAAAATTTAAAAAGAATTTATGCTTATGGTACATGCATAGATTTAATGTTTATGTTATGTGCATAGAGAGTAAAAGGAAAAGAGCTCTCACTAAATACACACACACAAACACACACACACACAAACACACAGAGTCAGTTACATAACTAGGACGAGAAGCCAGTTTTCCTTATTCTTCCTTTCTTTTTTTTTTTTTTTTTTTTTTTTTTTTTTTTCATTTTTTTCCTTAATAAGCCTAGTCTTGTCAGATACTGGACTTTTCCTTATTCTTCCTTAGCCGAAGTAGTAGAGGCTTCAAAATCTAAATGGTCTGCGCGGTCATTAATTTGGCTCCTTGTCTCCGGTAGCTAGCCTTTGTATAGCATAGAACATGTTATGGGAGCCTGGTAAGTTTGGTGGGAGTGGAGTTAGTATCTGTTTTACATGAAGGCAGAGGGCAAGGTTGCTATAAACTTTTTTCCCCCCACATTCTCATTCCCTGTCTACTGGCCAGGAATGCTGAGTTTGACCTGATTAAAGTTATGGTAATGTGAAACACTAGTAAGCTGGTGACTGTTCCAACCTAAAGCTGAACTCCTCCAGCACTTCTCAGTCACGTTTGACTAGCTTTGGCAGCAGCTACTGGACACAGAGCCAAACCCAGAGAACCAAAAAGCTATAAATGGCCTCTGGTATGATTAAAATGGACTATTTGCATAGTAGTTGGATCAAAATTCTGAGTGCTGAACAATGTAGGTTTTCATGTAAAGGGTCTACAGGGTATAGGAGAAGACGAAATTCGGGAAAATGAAAGGCAGTACATGGCCCCTGCTCTCCTGGAGCTCCTGTGGTTGCTTTTTTCTCAATTACTTAGCAATTGCCTTTAAATTCCCCAGGCTGTCAAGACCTCGAAAATATACCAGAGGGGTATGTGAGATAGAGTGAGAAAGAGAGTTTTAGAAGGGCAGGCAAAAAGGAGGAAAACAAAAGAGGAGACTCTTTTGAATGGGTTGTTTCTGTCCTTTGATGATCTGACCTGCCTTTTTTTATGCATTTGATCTAGTAATGACTCATGAGGATAGCCTTGGGAGCTGTTTGGGTTCTAGTCCTACTACCTCTATTTCAGTGACCTTGAGCAGATCAACTAACCTCTTTGAACTTCAGATACCTCATCTATAACATGGAGATAATAATAGTATTTACCTAGAGTGGTTGTTAAGGTATGTAAAGTGCTCAGCATGGTGCCTTGCACAAGGTAAGTAAATAATTAATAAATTTGTGATGATCTTTCTTCTTGTTGTTGTTATAGTATCAGAGAAGCAAAGGAGGAGAGCATTTTGAGTAGGAGAGGAAAGTCTGGTCTACAGAGTGCCAAATGCAGCAGAGAGGTACAGAAGGATGAGAATTGAGAGAAGGGAAGGGTTGAGGCTTGATTAGAAATGCTGACTGATAGGCTGGGTGCGGTGGCTCACGCCTGTGATCCCAGCACTTTTCTAGGCTGAGGCAGGTGGATCACCTGAGGTCAGGAGTTCAAGATTACCCTGGCCAACATGGTGAAACCCCAACTCTACTAAAAATACAAAAATTAGCCAGGAATGGTGGTGTGTGCCTGTAATCCTAGCTACTTGGGAGGCTGAGGCAGGAGAATCCCTTGAACCCAGGAGGCAGAGGTGGTAGTGAGCTGAGACTACATCTCAAAAAAAAAAAAAAAAGAAATGCTGAGTGACACTTACATTTGAGATCCATCTTTTGAGCTCCGTATTTTTATTGGAAATGGGAATCAGAGTTTAAAAAGATTTGATCACTTTTTGCTCTCAGGAGACATATTTAGTTAAGTTCACAGGAAGCAATGTTAATAGGGAGAATATGTAAGAAGGTAGCTGCGGCTGTGACAGCCACAGCAGACTCTTTGTGTTTGTCCATTAGAACTTTCTGTGATGTGGACATCTTCTATATCTGTGCAATATATCCATACACATGTGGTTATTGAGCACTTGAAATATGATAGTGCTCTAGTGTGACTGAGGAACGGAAATTTTATTTATTTATTTTGAGACAGAGTCTGGCTCTGTCACCCAGGCTGGAGTACAGTGGCATGATCTCAGCTCACTGGAAGCTCTGCCTCCCAGGTTCAAGCGATTCTCCTACCTCAGCCTCCCAAGCAGCTGGGATTGCAGGCATGCACCACCATGCCTAGCTAATTTTTGTATTTTTAGTAAAGACGGGGTTTCACTATATGTTGACCAGGCTGGTCTCGAACTCTTAACCTCAAAAGGTGATCCACTCGCCTTGGCCTCCCAAAGTGGTAGGATTACAGACATGAGCCACAGTGCCAGGCCTGAAATTTTAATTTTATTTAATCTTAATTAACTTAGGTTTAAATAACCATGTGTGGCTTGTGGCTACCCTAATGGACATTGCAGCTCTGGCTGCCCTGAAAAAGCCATCGCTGTTATTAGGGGAGCAAGGCATATACTCTTGAGACCAGTTAAATAGCAAAATAATTGGAGTCAGACAGTAGAGATTTAGTTATTCAGAAAACAAGCGATATCCTCTTGGCCGGAGAATTTAAAGAGTCTTGTAAAGTAAGTTACAGTGTTTGGATAGAAGGAAAGAAGGCAAGAGGTTATTCTGGATGGGTTGGAAGGGGTGGGCAAATGTTTCGAGTTAAAAAATGTCTCCTACATGAGAAGTTTGAGGACAATGACTATTCTAAAATAGAGCACTCATATTAGGAATTAGGTGCATTTGGGCCAGGACATGGACAGCCTTGAATCCTAGCACACAGAGTTTGGGCTGTCCACAGATGTTTTGCCAGGCTTGCTTAAAACACAGATTCTCAGGCCCCACCTTGACCTACTAAATCAAATTTTCTGGCTTGGAGGCTAAGAAATCAGTAGTTTTAGCAAGCTTCCCAGATGTAGATGATGCACATTCAAGTTTGAGATCTATTAGGTAGACAGAAAGGAGCCCATGGGAGCTTTTGGTGAAGGGAATGATGTGATAATAGCAGTATCTTAGGAAGCTTAATAGGGTAGGACAGTGTAGAGTGTAGAGACTAGAGTAAGGAAACCAGTTAGGTGACTGTTAAAGTAGTTCAGACATGAGCTTCACAAATTCAGATTTTCTTCCTGGCTGGTATCCTTGGAATTGTCAAATTGACTCCTAAAATTTCCCTGCAGGTCATATTTTAATTTTCAACACAATTTGTTTGCTGTTTTAAATGACTAGGGCCCAGGCACCAAAGCCTGACTTGCTCGGTTCAAATCCAAGCTCTACTACCTCAGCGATTTTAGCTTAGACAAGTTTTCATAACTTTTCTGTGTTGCAACTTCCTTATCTATAAACTGGAGATGATTATAGCTGCTATCTCATAAGGGCATTGCAGGTGTTAAATTAGATCATAGAGGGTTCACAACAGTACTTGGCACATAGTAAGCACTCAGTAAATGTTGATATGATATTATTTAAATGAAAGAGCTCTTTAGTTTATTACAATTTGTATGATAATTAAAACCAATCAATTACCTTTTGCAAAAAAAAAAGTTAAATGTGCCCATTTGGTATGTTAAAACTGAGTTCTAGACTTTTTGCTGAATGAGTTGTATTTCAAAGCATAATGCTTCCATTAATTTTATATATAACTATCCTTCATAATATAAGTCTCAACGGGATGTATTGCTTTTCCCACTGAGTGTGTTAACCTATGGTTAGTTCTTGGCTATGAATGATATATCTTTTTAAACTTTGTCCTTTTGAAAAACTAGCTTTCAGTGGATGCTATTTGTGTTATTTATTTCCAAAGAAAAGAACAGACATTCTTTTGCTCTTCAGGGGAACTGAGTGTGGAAATAAAATTTGATATGTTATCTTGGTATGTGGCCTGGGGTCCTGGTGTCACTTGATCCCTTGACTTACCCTGGAGGTGCGGCAACAGGTTTCTGAAGCAGTGAGAAAGTTTGTTCAGATGCCTTACTTGAGAGCATGTTAACTTCTGGTTGCTGCTTCACTCTTCTTCCAGACCTCACTGACACAGAGGCTTCTAGCCTCTCCAGTTTCCTTTGCATTGTCAGCTGCCTGAAGCAACTCTCAAGATGCACCTTCAAGTCAAGTGCGGCAGGGAGGGAAGGAAACAGCTAAGACCCATGATAGCTACCTACGTACTTCTGAGCCAGTCCGAGCCAGAACGTAGCCTCAGAAACTTCTTTCTGCTTTCAGAAACAAAGTCACCTCTAACTTTGTTCTCTTAGGTTCTGTTAGATGGTTGAAAAAGAGAGGTCTATTACACGGTTGGTTAAGATTCTCTTTTTAATGTTTTGACAAGATTAATACATATATTCCCTGCCATCTCTTTAGTTGTCCATTTCCCTTCCCTGGAGGCAATCAGTTACCAGTTTCTTGTGCCTCCTTCCAGAGATACTCTGCATATGAATGTATATGTATAACCTTATATTTTTTCTTTATATCCTTAAGTTTTATACAAATTATAGCATACCATAAATGATATCCTGCACCTTGCTTTTATCCCTTAATATATATTGGAAACTGTTTCATATCAGTACATACAGAGCTTCTTTATGGCTGTAGGGCAGGACTGTGTGGAATCTAAGTATTTCATAATTACTGCAGATGTACCAGAATGTATTTTAGCAGTTCTTTATTGATGGATGTTTACATTGCATCTCATCTTTGGTGATTATCAACATGATTATACATATTTCACATGTGAGAGTATAGCTTTAGGACACGTTGGTGATTTACCTGTTGAAGTGGCTGTGTAACCACAGTGCTGTGTGTAGAATCAATTTGCCATGCTTAAATGGGGAGTCACCAGATGTTAGAGTTAGAAGAGATCTTAGAAATTCCAGAGAAACCCCAGATGACATGAAGACTTAGAGACAGATTCAAGACTAAATCCCACAGTGTTTTTTGTTTTGTTTTGTTTTGCTTTGTTTTGATAGGGAGTCTTGCTCTGTCTCATATTCCTGGCCTCAAGTGATCCACCCACTTTGGCCTCCCAAACTGCTGGGGTTACAGGTGTGAGCCACCATGCCCAGCCATGGGTATTTCTTTATAGCAGTGTGAGAATGGACTAATACACAACCCTTATCATGGTATATTGTGATTGAATGTTTTTGTCAGTTCGATGTATAATCCAGAGGGTTTTCAGTTGTGAGCAACATAAATTGACTGGCAAATTTAGGCAGAAAATGTGTATATTGAAAGTATATTGAACAGCTCACAAAATCACCAGCTGGACTAGAGAACTAGACTCAGGCCTACATAGCCAACATCACAGCTGCCACTGTTACTACCACCAATAGGAGAAAGAGACTCCCCCTAGACTACATGATGATGCAATGGGCAAACTAAGAGTAGAAAGCAACAGGAAACATCATGAACCTTGGACCATTGCCAGATCACTTCCCTAGCACTAGTGAATGCCTACCACCCACCACTCCTACTGCCATCAGTGTTAGCGCAGATTCTCCAAGGAGCAGATACTAAAAGATGGGATTAGTTATGCAAGAGATTGATTGCGGGAATGCCCATAACAAGGTGAGAACTGGAAGAGGCTGGAAGAGCTGTCAGATTGCAATGTAAACCTGACCTTTATAGATAAGAGAAGGCAAGAAGAAGGTTTGGAAGGAAGAATCTTGGACTGAAGAGCAGTTCTAATAAAATTTGCCCTGGCTGATGAGAGTCCCGTAGCCAAGCTGCCTGTTGGAATAGTTCTGTCTTCCAGAAATGGATCTGACTTAGTATCCCTGCTATGCTCAGTCATTGGCTGGAAGCAGTGTGGCCCCAAAGCAAAGCAGCTAATATTGGGATGAATATAGAACATAGAGAAATTGGGGGCCGGGAGTGGTGGCTCGTGCCTATAATCCCAGCACTTTGGGAGGCCAAGGTGGGTGGATCACGAGGTCAAGAGATTGAGACCATCCTGGTCAACATGGTGAAACCCCGTCTCTACTAAAAAATACAAAAATTAGCTGGGCATGGTAGCGTACACCTGTAGTCCCAGCTACTTGGGAGTCTGAAGCAGGAGAATTGCTTGAACCCAGGA